ACAAGTCGGTTCTTTTCAATAAGAAAGAATGTGTAGTTTCGATCGTCAAGATCTTTATCGTGATAGTACGGTCTTCATATATCCATGAGCAATGGAATGGGTCGCTTTATTGACGACCGTCGAATCCACCAGAGGCACCAGCAGCCGCAAACCTCCTCGCGGCATCATCATCCGTAGTGCACGTCACACTCGTCCCCACACTATTAACGAGTGGGAGCGCACGGCACTTGAGGCCACCCGCACAAGGGGTGGTGATGAACGTGCCGAATGGGCATTGAGCGAATGCGTCCCCGATACAGGCGACCTCACCGACGGTGCATGCACCGCCTACAGCGAGAGATTGGAATTTGACGTTGAGTTGTTGGGCGGCTTGAGCGTTGGAGAGTTGGAAGCCTGTACCCGTTGATGGGGTCGTTCCCGTGTTGCCATTGTTGTTGTTGGCGGGAGGGGTGTTGGCGGGAGCAGCAGCGGTGGTAGTAGGAGCGGGAGCTTGTTGTCCATTTCCGTTATTTCCATTTCCATTATTTCCATTATTTCCATTATTGTTGTTGTTGCCATTATTGCCGTTATTGTTGTTGTTTCCTCCAGTGTTACCACTTCCCGGGTTGTTGACGATATTGTTCAACTGTTGTCCATCGGGAATCTTGCCCCCAGGATTAGCAGGGCACGAGCCTGGTGGCGAAGGTGCAGAGGAACGACCGAATGGAATGGTACCGGGCGACCCAGCGGGCACGCCACCCGTAAAGATGTTGTCGTTGACGCCTTGGAACTGGCACTGGAAGAGCCCGGAGAGCTCTTGGTTGCGCGGAGCCGATTGGCAATACAACACCGACTGGCTATTCGGCTACCCACATCATTAGTCCAATCCTAAATACTTTAAAAAATGCTCACCGAGTTGCGGGGTTGTTGGACAAATAGCTGGGTCAACCTGATCATCTCTGCATTGTTATTCAATTGTTTGGCGAGATCGATCATCTTGTCCGCTTGGTCTTGTTGTTCACAAGGACCTGGAGCGGCGAGGAGCGTCGAGAATGCGGCGACGGATTGGGGGTTGCATTGTTGACCGCCACCCGCAGCGAGACAGGCTTGTTCCCATTTGGCAGTGGCTTCGGGGATGACTTGGGCGATGCGTTTTTCGAGACGGGAGAGGGGAGCTGCTTGGGCAGTCGAGATGCTCAAGAGAGCCAACGAGATCATGGTCAAGAGAGTCATGGTGTACTAGTGATAAAGATGGACGGTAAACTTG